CCTGCTGAGTCAAGAAAATAACAGCTGACTGATGAATTGGGTTATCAAATGCACAATAACATTGGGAGACACAATGAAGTCCTAATGTCATGCTTCTGTTCCAGCAACTTCTGTGACTCAGTGCCATCTTCCATTCTGTTGTAATAAAACAATTTCACGCTCCTGGGGTTTACTTTTCATACCCAAAAGCAAATCACGATACACTACGGTTCTTGATATTAGAAGGTGAAACATTTATATAATTATGTGTATACAAAATGGGCAGCTTCTATAAAAGTTTGCAAGAGCAGGTACTTCATTTAACATAACTTATTCTTGTACATCTTCAGAATATTACCAACTGTTTAGCTGTAATCTCTGCTCTCTACAAATTTCTCTGCCCTCTACTCGTATTTGTTCTGCTGGGCTCGCCCATGGACTTGCTGCTCCTGTAGAGCTGTGACATTTAACCATGATGGTCTGTGGCTCATGGGAAATGGTGTTCTGCAAAGGTTAAAACAACCCCAAACAATAAATGATTGTTTTTCCTGTCCACAACTAAACATGTAGAGTGTCGATGTTTTAGTTATTCGTGTTATTATATCTGGTTTTATTTCAGCTTCCTATAGTGAAGTTGTCATTATACCGTGTCACTGTGCCATTTTGGTGGGATCACGCTCATTATCCATCAAAGAGATATATGCTCCATACGTTATACAAGTTAATTTAAAAAATAAATAGTAATTCAACATAACATGATGTACCTTCACATCCTCTATTGATTTTTTTTGTTGTTGTTGTTGTTGGAATTGGAAGCTAGTAATTTTAATGAAGCTTCCAAGCAGCTAATCTTTTAGTTTTCTATTAAGTGGGAAATCCTGAGAAAATGGCCAGGGCCTAGTGAGTTGCCAGACTGTCTCACTGACAGCAACCATGTATATGACAAGAAGGAAATTTACAATGTGAAATTAGAAGGGCAGTAAGAGACAGGAGTGGAGAGACAGCAACACCGAGGCAGAAAATCAAGGATGGAAAGGAACAGCAGCAAGAACAGATGAAGCGCCAATGTATTTTATTCCTGTCTCATCCCTGTGCACTCAGCTCAGCTTGGCTCAAAGACCACAGCAATTAATTACCTGCAGGCACATTACAGACACCTGCAATGATTTATGGGGGCTTTTATGGAGATGCACAACACTGATGGGTCAAGCTCAGGCTACAACAGAAGAACTGAGCAAAATTGTGCTGAAAACACAAAAGACAAAGGAGTTAAAAGAACAACCCTCCGCCTCCACCTCTGAAACCTTTCCACTTGATTTAATGTGCATTAGGTGCAGCTGTAGTTTGCTTCACTGAAAATTTGCCTTGAAAACGTACCCACACACAAACACACAGATGTTTGGGCTGCTGTTGCATGTTTTGTTCCTTGTGCCCACAGGCTCCTTTCTCCCTATGCTCTCTTCATCCCCAGCGCAGAGAGAGAGAGAGAGAGAGAGAGAGAGAGAGAGAAAAAACACACTCATTTTTATGTCAAGCAGAACTTTGTTGCATCCATTATGTCTGTGCAACAGATTGTGTCTGGCAGACAATACAGTACACTTCCAAAAGTGCTTCTGTGGTTTCAAAAGCATGTACCCGCTTTGGCTTTTACAAGTTTAGTGATTTAGCTGCAGGCTGTGACCCACAGAAAACTACACCCGGTAGCTTTGCTTCACCATGTTGCTCAAGGACACATGGCTGCTGGGTGCTGAGAGGAATGAGCCTGTTCCTGTCAGCCAGGACATGCATCCTCGGGTTAATATCACTCTGCCAGAAAGATGCTATTTGATGGAATTTTTAATGAATTACACAAGGAAAAGAGGTTTGGTCCAAACTGCGGTTCATGCCAGGGTGTACCGTATCTTTTTGGTTAGATATCACTTTGTTAAACAAACAGTAGGAATCCAGGCTGTGGGCTATCTGTTCTAGGCTTATGTAAGTGATACTTATATAACCAGACAATCCTGAATTCATTGTGTAGACGGCTAGATTTTACCCTTATTATCAAGAAAAGAAACTGGCAGAAATCTCAAGTGAATAAACAGAGAAGCTACATTCTGAGCTCAGTATCCACGGAACAAAATAATTGATTTTAGGTTTCAACAAGGCTAAACAAATACAAAGCCAAAACACAAAAAGAACAAAGCACAATTCCTGATTTGTGCCCCAGATTGGGCAATTAAAGGCTAATGAAATACCAGGTGTAACACTCTTTGCTAGTGTTGCAAATTTTCTAGTATTTTTCTGTGACCAGTGACTATGGTACAGGGGATTTATTTTACATTACCAAAGCCAGTACAAGAGGGAGTTTGTCTGGTCAGAATCTTCCAGATTCGTGGGAGCCAAGAGATGAATAACTACAGTGAAACAACAAACACAAATTATGGTAAAACTGTTGAATTTTATATTATAAATGAATGGGGGAAAAAAGAAATTAACTGAGGGTGAGCGCTTGTACAAAACAAAATAAAATCAAATTCAGTCCTTTGTTTCAGTGTGTGGAAATCTGTTTATGTACTAAGTCTGTTCAGTGTCCTGTTCAATTCAATGTCTTGTAACCAGGGTAGTTACCAGCTACCACTGTGTTAGGGTACTG